TAAAATTATCGAGAAAGCAGTTTGCTGCAAAATGATGAATTTAAGTAATTAATCATTACTCTAATAATTACTAAATGCATGAAAAATATTAATAATGCCAAAAGGTTATGGAAATTATAATTAATTATATTTCCAGATAATTCTAATAATAATTATTACATGAAATTTATGGTAATACTATTATCTATCAATCTATATGAATAAAATGACTGTTCTTTAATGAACTACCACGAGTAGATGAAATTCACGTGAATTAATTATAAGACATAATTTCTTAATTTGGATTACGTATAAAGCTCTTAATGAAAATAGCAGAGCTTAGATTTTATTATCGGTGATTCTTTTTTAGGCAATTCTGAACAATCAGCAGGATAAAACGATAATAAGGTTGAATGAGGCAGCGTTGTCTGACGATTTTTGTAGTAGGGTAAAGAATTCACACGCGTATGGGGACTTATAACGAGATATTGATGGTAGAGTGTGGGCGTATGTTCATTTAGTGCGGTTGCAAACCGACTGGGGGAGAAAGGTAACGATAATGGCCTCCCTGAGACTTATTCGATCGCAGAATGAATACATTATTAACGAAGACTGGATTTGCCCAGGCGTGTACATATACGACGTTGTTATTACATGGCGACGTTCAGTGGCTTTGTCAAGTGAATTCATACGAAGAAGATGGTACAGGATTTAGAGACATAATAGAATGATTGTTCCACTCGTGTATATATACTTTCCAGCTCTCTTGTTTGTTCTTCTACAAACTCAATTATGCATTTCCGGTATTGTAGGCGAGGATTGGACTACTTTTAATCGTTTGCAAGAACACAAATGGAAATCGACGTCTGCATCTTTTAACATTATTTATTATTATGCCCTCCAGTAGAAATATTTCAACCATCATTAAGGAATTGATTTCATTTAAATTTCATTATCTTACTGCTACCTTCAAATAAAACATTAATAGATCTCATTAAAAATTATTTTGTTTCTGGTTTGAATATCAATTTTCTAAATCCATCCAAATAATGTCAATTGGGATTCTTTGAGAAGAATAAAAATAGAGCTTTGTCTTTTGGAGCAAGACTTGAACATGATGATGATGATGATGATGGACGTAGATGGGCTACAGTAAAAGAAGTGATGCGTTAAGATAATGAGGTATATGAAAATGTAGTCGCAGTTTGAATATTAGTTGACTTACTTATCGATGCGAAACGTTATGTACAATATATAGGGGGATATATGATGATGGCTAGTAGAGGCTTCATCTTTAGCCTCATGTATAAATGTACGCAATACACGACCGCCGTTATTGAATGATTAGTCGCGCTCCATGTTCTAAATTGAGTTACGCTACATCGGAATTATTGCGGTAGTATTAATACCATCGAGATCATGACCCGACTGGATTCCCGATGAAGACACGATTATACAGTCGCTTGATGTGGCTTCGAAACGATGGGAACATCGGTGACTTCTTTTTCGTCTTCTCCTTCTTGCAGCATATATGCAACTACGAAAACATTATTTCCTTCACGGCTCGTAAAAAGCTGGACATTAAAGTTCATAAAACGTCTTCTGTATATAAGTATTTATAGCTTATATGACAAGCGCGTCTGCATTGGCAACATGCCGGATTGCCTAGCAGTTAGAGCGACTTGAAGGCATCATACATACTCTTGTTAAGAATTTTTCATTCTCTTCATAAATTCCCTCTCTTTACCTAAGTTATTTCAAGTAGCCGCATTGGAACGAACAACATCTGTCGCTAATGGGCTCCAGGGTGCATTTTCGAGTACTCACTTGTGAATTTCGACGATGACTAATCTCCTTTACTTTCCCTGCCGACTCATCCATGTTAAATAATAGATTCGTAAGCATTCATTTACATACGCTGTCACTTGTTTATACAACTTTATTGTCGTATGATCAGAAATATACCTACATACTATTTTCCTTAATCAACTTAATCATCATTTATAACCAACTATATACGTGTAATACTAAAAATAAAAGATAATCAAGTGACATTTATTTACTGAATGGTCTTCAACAACATTATTATGTTGAAATATGTGAAGTATATTACCTCTATTAAATATTTTACTTATTACGATAAAATATTTTCTATCAAATGACGACTTTTAAAAAATTATCCTCTTCAATCTTAAATCATCATAGGAATATTCTAAAGGCATATACATCGAGGTCGTATGATTCATTAATGGATTTTTTATGGAAAAAACTGACGAGAAATATCAAAAAATTATCATCAATCGAGCAGTTTTCATGAATTTTATAGTGTGTATTTTAAATATTAGATTGCTAATTTACTCCAATAAAAAAAAAAGCATAGATGGAATTTTATTAATTTAATAAATGCAAATTTTTAAATATTAAACACAGATTGATTTTGGGTGTACTAAAATACAAGACATGAGTATTTATTGCAAAAATCGTGACTGTACATTTGACAGTAAACACTGATAAAGCATGGGTCTGTAAAAATTTCAATGTTCAAGGCACGCACGTATAACACATGTTCGTGTGGTGTTTCATTTGGCACAGTGTCGAGTCTGCCTACGGGCCAAATGACTGTAGCTTGAGTCTCATTTCGCGAACCAAACGCCACGGGGAGCTTGGGCGATTCAAGGATAACGTTGGACGGCTCACGTCATAATAAAATTAAATTCCATATCTCGAATCAGGGAACGCGATAGCTACTGCTTGGTGCCTAAACGTTGTTTGTGTATAACAGCATCGGCTAACATATGTGTTGCTTTTCTTGAATAGTTTTGATTCACGTACGACATTGTAGCCAGAGTGTTGTACACAGTGTCAGCGTCATTCGTTTCGCGCGGGCGCACACCCACGAATATTATGCCGACAAGATGTTCAGGTCGTTTGCTCGCGTTTTGCTGCTCTTCTGAAGCTCTTAGACACAACGAAATCCGACACTATAATACATATACTAGGCCCAGTTTCACGGCAGATCCGCGTACAAACTCTCTACACGTGTCAACATGTCGCTTGACACAGATTTTTCGCTGCGATATAGTTGGACCTGTGAGTTATAGCTACAGCAAAAAAAAAAACAAAATGAAACAGAGCAGACACTGCGAGGCGTGTTTGATCAACTTTGTTCAAGCTTGAGACCAAGCAATGTGCTTTGAAACGACATCAAACCAGGAACCAGTTTGTTCGTTTGTTGCCACCCGAGCGAACACACGCGTTATTTTTTAGAATCATCCAACCGTTCAACCACACACACCTTTTATTTTCATTTGTTTTTCTGTCTCATCGTTGATCATAAGTTGAGGCGTCGAGGACAACCACTCTATAAATGTTACTAACCACCACACTTAATGTTTTTCAGTCGCTACTCATTATTACTATATACTCCAATTTGCGCCTCCTCATTAAATAGGAAACTTGGATAAAACACAACCAATTATACACTCATTTTTAAATTGCTTCTTGTTTAACTTCTTCTCCTCTTTCTTCTTTGCTTCTTAGCTCGCTTTGTACGTTTCTAATGTGCTTTGTTCTACTGTGTCAAATACATTCTCAAGTTTACAACAAACATTACAAGCTTATGACATAAATTCTATTCCCGAGTCGAAAAATTTCGATGGGTCTTACATTGATTACATTGTTATAACATTACTTTTATATTGGATACATTGCTAAAAAATTTTATTTTACATCGCTAAAATCATTCTTACATTGAAAATGGTGTAAGCAATGTTAAATTAATATATGGCAATATTAGCAATGTAAGAGTAAGATTATTAAGGTTTTATATGTAGATCTTGAGTTTACATTGGTTACATTGATAATAGTTTCTAGTAATATAACCAATATCAAAAAAGAACATCGTTAACAGATGATCATTGTTTTCATTTTTATTTTATTAAATATTTCGTAACAATGGTAATTTATTATTAACAATATTTTAACTGTTTCACATAGAATTCAACTGTTCATTAATAAATAATAAAAAAACAAATTATTAATCAATGTAGCACAGTGGGAATCGAACGGTACGCACGATCCTCAAGTCAAGCAACATTTAGGCCGGTAAATAGATGGATGGATGACCGGAAGGGAACACAAAAAATAAAAAAAAGCATGTAGCCAATGTCAATACCAATAATGTAGTTCTAAATTTATTTTTATTTTTCTCAATGTAATATGACTACATTGCTTATATTATTTTTACAATGCTTCTTTCTTTTCCTTGATAACATTGAATTGACATTGCTACTACAGAAAAGGGAATTATGCAAAGAATACAATGTTGAAGCAATGTAATCTTAAAAATTGAAAATAAAATTTAATTTAAATTATCTTTACATTGGTTGTATTTCTAAAAAGCAATGTAACTAATGTACAATCCATCGGAATTTTTCGACTCAGGTTTTTCCCTACATCGTGATAAAAAAAGAAACATCAATCGATTGTTCAATCAATCTTTCTGAATGTTATTATTTAGCCTAAAAATTTAAATGGTTTGTTTTTGTTCGAGTTAATATTAATTCATCTGATAGTGAAGAAATATCATGCCATTAAAATAAAATGAATATTTTATTGGTTTGTCTCTTTTTATCATTTGCATCAATGAATAGTAATATTCATTATTATTGAAATCAATTAGAGTTTTGTAGGAAATGAAAGCAATTACTTTTGTAACAACATATGTCATGTTGTAAATTGAACATTTTTATGAAAATAAAATCAATTAAAATATTTGTAAATTATTTATTGGGGATATAATTAAAAGTAAATTGCACATAAATTGAATGATTTTAAGTAAATTCTTTCTGTACGATAAATCCATTAATAATACAAATAAAAATTTGTTTTAATATTCTTTATGTTCAAGTTATGATTCTGAAGGTTGCATATATATATATTTTTTTTTTAACTCACAAATATTTTAATTTGATTGTTAATTTTGTCCCATATATTGCGAATAATATCAGCACGTGACTTACCTTGAAGAAAAGAAGCAGATAATAAGTGAGTCAGACAATTGATTTTAAGGTTGAGTTATCGATCAAGTCTTTAACTTGAAAGAAACGTGACACTGCGTATCCGATATGAATTATTTAAATCTGATCACAAAATGATTAAAATTCCAGATTTAAAAAACACACTGGACAGTATTCACTATATTTGCTACACGACATCATAAAACTGTCACTACACTTGTGTCAATAATATAAAAAAGGGGACTTGAACTATTTTTTAAAGTGACCGTGAAATTTTTCAATACCAACAAAACAACAAATAAATAACAATTCTTTAATTAATGCAGATATGTAAGTAATCCAGAGTAAGTAAAAATGCGGATGGAAATAATGAATTACTGATAAATACAAATCTCAGTGAAGCATCTCGGACAAGGCTTCCACGTGACATTCCACCAGATACTTGGGAGGTTATACTACACACTCTACTATTTATCACACTATGTAGATATATGTATATCAATATATACATATATATTATCACACAATTTAATCGGCGTTCGATCGCATTTCAACCATGCCAAGAACACATGGTGTCATTCATCGATGCGATACGTTCCACTCAATCATTCACATTGCGCGAGTTGATCGGTTGAGAGCATTACAGCTCATCCACTTGAAACTCAAGACTACATTTATCCCTTACTTTCCTTTATCTTTTTCTCCATTTGATGATATTTTTTATCCCCACACCGTCAGATTGAATTTCTGATCAGGGGAAAGAGGAATTTCGCGAAATATTCGCCAGCAGATCAGCATCACTTTTAGATCTAAAAATTGATTAAACGTTCCTAAAAAATATTGTCAGACAATTGTTACAAATAAATCGGTCGTACTTTTAGACGGTGATGAGTTTGATAAGCTCATGGGTCTCTCTTACAATTGCATGTACCGGTCCAGTCTCGAAAGACACGCTCGTTGAACTGTCCTACCAAGTCAGGTTTAGTATAAAGCGAAGCTTCGTTCTTGGCTGCAGGCGTCGCGCCCCTCTCCGGACACCACTCGACGCCAATCGAATGCGCGTATACCTTTGTAGGTGTACAATGCAAGATTATACGCACATACATTTGTATGTACATGTGTTATATGGACGATGAATACACCAAGCACATGTAGGTTTCAATCTCGCAGTTAATTCACCTGATCATTGCTAAGCTACATTATATGACCCAAGCAAGGGTAATTAATAATCGGAAAGTCACTGTTGGAAATTTGATTCGAGGTATCCGATATCACTAAACTATTCTGCTAACTTTTTTTTATTCAATAAAATACAGTCAGAAATAAAATTATCTTGCTGGTGAATTTTAAAATTCTACAACTCTACCACATGCTTTTCTACTTATTCCAATAAATACTTATCTTTCCTAATGAAATTTTTTTTTTGTTAAATCATGGGAAATTGTTAAATATTAAATTCTTATCATCTTGATAATAATAATGTGTCGGAAAAAAGGTTAATGTAAGTGAAGATTAAGGTCAAGCCATTAGAAAGTTAATATGATTTTCTAGTTGTTGGGAATGTCTGATCAAAGTCAGCAATGGAATCCCTTTTCACTAATCCTCACTACATGGATATATTGAATTGGAGAAATATACATAGAATTAGTGGTACATACAAAGATCTCTTTAGCGTATTTAATTCACCTGATCACTGCTCCAACTCTATTAAATGGTCCTAGTAAATGATAATTAATGATCATAAAGCCATAGTTAGAAATTCGATTTAAAGGTATTGCAGGATAATTGCAAATTTCATTTACAGTTATATGAATGTATAAATATTATTACAGATATAATATAGATGGTGTAGTAAGTTTTACACTTTAATTCCAGTCACATGAAATTCTGTTCACATTTCTCATCCTTGCCATGTATGCATGTTCACGTACTGATTCGTTATGTGTATTGTTCGAAAATTATTATACCTACTACGAAAATTTCGAGTTTCTCAAGTTATTGTTAACATACCACAGGTATTTTAAACCTACATAAATGTGAGAAGGAAAATTGTATTAAAATACCTAGATTTTAAGTAGGAAAGGGGTATTTTTTTTTTTTCAATATCTATTGTATTTATAAAATTCCAAGCAAAAAATATTCTAGAATAAAATAAAATATATTTTATTAAATTGTTTTGTTAGCTTTTGAATAATTCATTTAATTATTCAATAGCATTTAAATTATTTAAACAAAAAGAAAATCCAACCACAATTTGTAGTTAAATTATTTTTTAACTAATTAAACATCTATTGTGTGAGATAATTTACGTTTTTTTTTACAGAGTGAAATAAAGACAGTGTAAGCAAGAAGAATCAGTAGCTTTTTAAAATGTTTGGTCAAAACAAGAAAATAAGTATTCTCTTCTTTAACAGCATAGTATTTTGTACTGCCACAGTAACATTGGTATATCTATAAATTGTATTCAAGCTTTTCCGTTGTGCACAAAGTACTTTTCGTTTAAGCTCTTGGGCTGAACTCGTTACGAAGCGTAACTTTGGGGGAGAAAGAGTACATATAGGCTAGAGGTAAAGTGAAAACGAGGAAAAACGTAGTTAGGATAAAACAGAAGGTGGTTTTAGTTATACAGCATAGTGGTACAATAAGAGTAGAGTTGGCTTGTATATGCTCTACACCAACCGAATAGTAACTTGGACACCCAAGATTATCGACGATTACGGTCTAGAAGTTTCTTTCGTCTGAACTGAGCAGTGCAATACAATTTCTCTTTCACAAAACTTTATTTTAGTCTTTGCAAGCTACACTACAACTATATGTATACACATGTATATACGATACAATCTCAATCATGTATATAAAACCTTACCCCTGTCTTTTTGGATGAGTTTTACACTTCCTAATTTCTCACGATCACTCTCACGTTTCGTTGGTGCTAATTGTTGGCCTCGAATCGCAGCAGTTTTCATTCCATCCGACAGCCGCATCCCATCAGCTTAGTAATTACTTTGAAACGATAGCATACTATTAAAACGACCTGTGAGGGGATCACAGAAATCGTCTGTGCCAATTTCATTAATGACTGCACTAGAATTCTGCTATAAATGACGAATGTTTTAGCTTAAATTTATTCGCAATCACGTCGTAATGACTTTATAATCTATCCAGCACAATATTCATCTAAACATTGAAATTAAATTGACAGAAATGAATTAATAAAAAATGAAATAATTTTTTGATGAAAAATACCGATTATAAAATATACATTTTTCAAGGATAGTTGATGAAAAAATTAAAAGATTATTGAGTCATTTTTTTCTATCAAGTATTGTATGATTTATGATAAAACGAAGGATTATTTTTCAAACGAAAGAAGTAGATAACATAATCTTCAACTCTTGTAGTAAGCTCGAAAGGTATGTGTAGACTAAAGGCCTCACTGGTTGACAGAAATGTCCATTTGATATTCAAGTGAATCAACCAAACATGAAGAAGCATCAACGATTTTTACTTCGTAACGTATCCTCAAGAGCAAGTTTTCAAGATATGTAGTTGACAGTAATTAACGACCGTGAATTTTTTATTAACATATTTTTACCTTTTTTTTTTTATATTAAAAAATGTCTTTTTTACTATCGTGCCTCTTGAAGTCTCGATAATATTTGGTCGAGGAGAATTGCGCTTTGAAAATTGATAATATATCATGGGGGCCCAACGACGCTTCATAATTGGTTGGTATTTGCATGCAGTCTTTACGCTTATATTGAGGTTTAGCTACATGATGGTAGACCGGTCGTCTTTTTGCCGTCGGTTTTTATCATTTATGTAGACACTATATAGCAACCGGCTTCGAACACGCGACAGCGACATCCCTTCCTCTCTCTCACAATTTCCTTTCAGCTTTTTTTCCTTCCATTTTCACTCAGATCGAGCATTGCTTCGTCATGGCCCCCGCAGTCTCATTTTGATAGACGCTTGGCCCTCAGCTTCTTTTGCTGCTTCTTTAAAGCCTCTTTATCCAAATGAAAAATATTGCTGAAGCGGTTAAATCATAAAAGCCCATGTAAAACTCACGCTGTGTATAGTAATATAATTATTATGAAGCACCAACTTCAACATTTTGGCTACATTCATTGGTGCTGTTCAAGCCGCGTGACGATTGTCAATTTACCAGAATGTATTCGCCTGAACATAGATAATTTCTCATTGGAGTTTCATGTTCTAGTCGGCTCTGGATAATTTCAAAGGTGCATTAATTATCACTCAATATGATGTTCCATAGGCATCATCAGAATACGATGTATTATGCGTGAACCAATATGGAGTAATTTTCAGTTAGATAATGGTGCTATACATCAATGTTGTTATATTTTTCATCTCTATCACTTGGATAATCATGATTTACAATTATCACACGTTTCCTTCTTATCAATCTAGACTTTTGAATCGTTATGGTGTGTATACAACTATGATTGAAGGTAGCAAAATATTTTTTTTACTGTTGAATAGTAAAAAAAAATGTCTGAGAACTCAGGAATAAATCACATACAATACAAAGAAAAACTAGATATTTTTTTCGATAAATCCAGGAGCTCTTTTTAATCCTGAAGATTTCCTGCAAGCAAGGGAAAGAAAACGAAGTTTATAAACGAACGAAAACTCGATTTAGAGTGCCATGCATCATGCTCCACGCTCCAACGTTTTCCCCGCCATTGGAAATTCATGGTAGAGTCCACCGTTCCTTGAATCACGACGACACTATACAGATCCCATTTTTCCGTTCCGCGCAAGTTCGCTCGCGTCGAAGAGTTTTCCCAGTGAGTGCTAGCTCTTGCGACACATTCCGCGAATCTCAGCTATTTCCCCCTTGGAAAAACTTTCACAAACATACACATTCGAAATGTTTTCACGTTAGACTGCGACTTCTTGATAAATCAAACGCCCCACTTTGTTATCGGTACTATATATGAAAACTCTCAAACTATTTATTTCTACTTACGGTAAATTTATCTTTTTTCTCTTATTCATGTGACGACATGTAGAAACGTATATAAAAGTACGTAAACAAAATTGAATATAAATTGAACACAGAGATGAATAAAAGTTGTGCAAAGTAATGCTTTAGTTCAAATGCCCGGAATTAAGTTGAACATTATTTTCTATTTAATATTTTTTTCCAGACATTCAAGTTTTTAATTTTATTCAACTCTTTTTTTTCTATTAATTTTAATGAGTTTTCCTGCTATTCTTCAATTGAAAACTACATTGTATTGATTATTAATTATTTAATTTTCATCTGAAAAATTAATTGTATTCTATCACTTTATTTCATTTCTTTTTGTACATCAAGTTGAATTGAAGAGAGAAAGAATGTTATATTTTCAGTTCATCGCCCAACCTTTGTCACTTTGAGAGATATCCATCTTCTTTCCAGTAATAACTCAATTTCACTTCATCCGTCTACAAAGTTCTGAAGCGTAACGACGTTTCCTCGACTCTTTTAGAGTAATAAATTTTTCACAGAGTTTTATTTTTATATGGAAAAATTTTCGAATACATTATACAACTACGGAATTGTATTTGAAATGTCTATTGAAGTGGTTACATTTCTATTCTACTTCATTAAGCAGCTCGGATTTATTTACTATAATATATTGAATGGACATATAAAGAGAAGTCATTTTCAAATAAATTCATTTATATGACATTATCAGTAAACATGTTATATTAATTACATAAATAATCGATTGATGTAGATCTATCAAGTTGTAAAACAATGCTTGATAATAATCAACCAACGATATTATTAATGTTTATTCCAATTACAATATTTCCTGACTTAACTTCAATCTCAATAAAATTGCTATTGAATCAACTGAGAAGTATAAATATAATTTTTAATAAATAAAATATTTGTAGACTTACGTTAAAAATTTAAATTTAAACAA